GTTCGAGGGGGACCCCCAGCCGACCACATATACACACACACACACCCTTAGCCCCCCTCCTCGAATGCTACCCCGAGAAATTTGGGGATCGTACGCCAGCTCACGATGGGAGCCAGCGAGCTGGCGGGGGCCTCACAACGACTTCCCCCCTCCACAGACGCCAGTTGTGAGGCGATCCCTCCTCTTCGATCGCCCTCCCATGTCCTCCTCCCCCATCCCTCCTGCTGGTCTGCTCGGCCATGCTCCACGGTGTTGGAGCGCATGCCTGTGCGTTCTGCATCGTGCGTTTGTGCTGCGTGTTTGTCCGCCTATGCGACGCTGAGCGCCTGGCTGCCGTCTGTCTGCCTGTCTGTCTGCCTGTCCCCGCCCCCAGCCGACGAGCGAAAGCGGGGAGAACACAGCGCCCGGCACGTTTTGTCGTCGCGGCGCCTGGGGTCAGCGACGGCAGCGGCGGCGGGCGAACATCGACCCCAAAATCTCTCCTGCAGCGCGCTCTGGTCAGACTTTCGAGGCGAGCACGGGCCGTGGCGGCGAGGGCTGCGCCCCCCCCAGAGGTCCCGAGGCGGCCATGATCACCGAGAGAAGACGACGAAGAACATGACGACGACGCCTCCTCCTCCTCCTTTTCCGCCTCCTCCTTCCAGCTTCGAGCAACGGGCCCCTAGTCCTACGAAGGGCTGTGGCCCGAGTTTACTCCACCACTCCCAGTCTTCGCTCCTCCTCCTTCTTCCTCCTCCTCCTCCTCCCCGCTCCTCCTCCTCATCCTCCTCCTCCTCGTCCTCCTCCTCCGTCCCTCCCTCCCTCCCTCCATCCTTCCCTCCTCCTACTACTCCCTCCTCTCTCATTCCTACTTCCTCCCTCTTCCTCCCTCATCCTGCCCCTGCCCCTGCGGACTCCCTTCCTCCACCCCTTTCCCCTTCAAACAACTCCTCCCTGTCAGACCCCTGGACGTGTCGGTAGGGCGGACCAGGCGTTTCGCCTGAGACTCCTTCACACTGCATGATGCTGCAACTTGGCATGTGCAATCCATTCTGCAATGGAGGTCGGGCGGTTTTCAAAATGTTACTCGTCTTCGCGCAACGCACACTCGTCTTAAAAGTTTGCAGCAACTTCAAGGATGGAGGGCGGGCGGTTTTCAAAATGTGGCTGTCGCCTTCGCGCCGTGCGTACTCGTCTTGAAAGTTCGTAGCAGCTTCAAGGATGGGGGGCGGGTGGTTTTCAACATGTAGCTTCCGCCGTCGCGCCGCGCACATTCGTCTTAAAAGGCTGCCGCAATTTCAATGGTGGAGGGTGGGTGACTCTCGCCTTCGCGCCGCGCGCATTTTTCTTAACAAGGTATACCAGTTCCGTGGGCTCGTATGGTTGAGATTACAGTAATGGTGCTCTGGGACGGTTTAGGAGCGTCAGGGCGCAGCACTTACGCTGATTCGCGCTGTTGACGTCCAGGGGACGGCATTCTGGCACAATTCGAATTATTAGGACGCAGCAGTGACGTCCACTCGCGGCGGTGAAATCCCAAGACTTGCGTTTTAGCACGAATATCTAAAGGCTGTCTTCCAAAGGGGCATTTCCATCATGAGAAGGGATCTGCGCGGAGGGAACTGAGGAGAAACCTATGACGAGGGACCGATGAATATCTTCTGGGTACCCGTGAAGAGGGAAACTGAAGAGAGGGCTTATTGCAACATCGTTGATGCTTCTTTGGTTTGCACTGGCGCGCCTCCTCCTCAACCTCCTCCTCCTCCTCCTCCTCCTCGTTGTCCTCCTCGTTGTCCTCCTCATCCTCATCCTCTTCATCCTCCTCCCCCTCCTCCTCCTCCACCTCCTCCTCCTCCTATCCTCCTCCTCCTCCTCCTCCTTTTCCTCCTCCTCCTCCCTCCTATCCTCCCTCCTCCTCCTCTCTCCCTCCTTTCGGACCTGCCTCTTCGGAGGCAGGCCAATCCATATTCCATATTCCTCTCTCCCTCCTCCTATCCTCCTCCTCTCTCCCTCGCTCCTCCTCCTTCTCTCCCACCTCCCCGCGCCCGCGCGCTCTCCAGCGTGTGCGTGCGACAGGGGAGGCAGAGGGAGGGAGGGCCCCTCGGCGCCGCTCGCCCCCTCTGGGCCTCAGGAGGAGGGGGGGGGGCCAGGAGGGGGGGGGGGGCGCCCGAGGTCCAGACACGCTCGCGCTGCGCAAAAAGAAGGCACGACGGAAGTTAGTGTCGGACAGTTTCGGCCGCTGGGGGCCGTCGCCAGGCCCCCGGAGAATCAGATAACTTCTCGGTATGAAACACCGGCCGTGGGGAAAGGGTCGGGACTTCTGGAGACCCCGCATGGAACAACATGTAATATAAAGTAATCATATAAATCTATGGGACGTCTGGGTTCTCCCCTCGAGATCTTTGATATCACGCACTGCAGGACAAGCCCATGGAAGAATATGAGGGAGGGCGGGAAGGAAGAGAAGCAGGAAGAGCAGGAGGAGGAGGAGGAGGAGGAAGAAGAGGGACGAGGATCTCTCCTGGGAGGATGCCCCCGAGCAGAAGCGTGGACATGGTGGTGACCATGTCTGAGCATTTGGCATTCGGGTGGACGTTCTTCTCGAGGTCGGTGCCCTTGGCGAGCTGGGTGAAGACGATCGCGAATGTGTAGATGATCATGACCTCACACAGTGGAGGATGCCAGCGCTCGCCAAGAGAAGAGGCGGATGGACGGTCAAGAGTTAAGAACAAAGAGAAGATGAAACACAAGACAAGAGAAGAACCATCTGTCTCCGAAATGCCCAGTCAGACATGCTACATTCTAACAGGCGCGCGCGATTTACTGTACAACGTGTAGTGCACCAAGTGAATGGACATCAAGCTGACGACAAAGAGGAAGAGGAGGACAGGGACAACGACGACTCGACGACGAGGAAGGAGGATTCTCCCCTCCCCGCCTCTCTTCCCCTCACCTCCTCTCCCCACTCCTCCATCCTCTTCTCCCCTCCCTGCACCTTCCCCCATCCTCTCTGGCGTCCCTCACCCACTCCCCTCCCCCTCTCCATCCCCCCCGCCACCCCGGATCCCACCTCGGGTGCATGAGCTGACTTCGCTTGTTCTACGCCGCAGCGCTGCAGAGGCAGTCCGCACGCGCGCTCGGGCAAGCCAGGCGACGCCATTGCGAATCGACCGGCAGCAGGAGCCGACCACGCACGCTGCAGCACGCACGGAGACGCCGCGAGCGGCGCTGCGCACTGCTGGAACCACTCGCCCGCCGCTGCTGCCTCGCCTCTGCTGCCGCTGCCGCCGTGCGCCGCCGGGCACGACGCTCGCGATGCACTGCCGCTGGTGTTCCGCCTCGCCTCGCCCTCTGCATGCATTCGTTCGACACCTCCTGCGGGGGACTCGGCTGACAGGTGGCACAGCGGAAAACAAGTAAGGAGGAGGCGGAGGAGGAAGCGGAGGAGGAGGAGGAGGCGGAGGAGGAGGAGGCGGAGGAGGAGGAGGAGGATTAGGAGGAGCTGCATGGACGGCCACATGTGACCCCCAGCCCTGCTAAATGCCGCACCCTCGTGTGGTCGGGTGCTTGGTTTGACTCTGCAGCGCCCCGCGTCTCTCACCTCACCTCCCCATCCTCCCCTCCTTTGCATCTGCCATCAGCATTCCCCTTCCCAGCCTTGCCTCTGCCCTCCGATGTCCATGTCGGCACACCAACCCGTAGGGTGCTCCACCGAGGGCCCCACTTTCGTCCCCCCGCTCGTTCGGGCACAACCCTCACACATGCCGCGGCCCCAAAGGGAGCTCCACCGAAGGCCCCAGTGGCGGTGTTCGCATATCGCCGCGCCCATTTCGGCATAACTCACACGTTTCGCCGCCCCGTAGGAGCTCCACCAGAGGCCTCAATGGCAGGGCCCGCATGGCGTCCCCCGCCCATTACGGCACACCCACCACTCGCACGCTTCGCAGTACCATAAGAAAGCTCCACCGAATGCCCCAATGGCAGGGCCCGCGCGGCGTCCCCCCGCCAGTTTGGCGCACCCTCACACGCTCCGTGGCCCCATTGGGAGCTCCACCGAAGGCCCCAGCGGCAGGGCCCTCACGGCGTCCACCACCCGCCCATTTCGGCACACTCTCGCACGCTTCGTGGCCCATGCGGAGCTCCACCGACGGCATCAGTGGCAAGGTCCGAATGCCACTCCGCCGCCCCTGTCGGCGAACTCCTCACACGTTTCGTGCCCCTCACTCGCACTGCCCAAGCTCCGTACCTCTCGCGGCGTGCTTCTTTGAGAAGAGGGTCGTATCCTGCGTTATCCCCAAGTGCATAGGACTGGGTTTTCGCGAAGCGAACTCTATCACTCCCCCAGGGTGAATTCGAATTGGAAAGGCTCCCGTGATGTAGCGATTTCCTGCTTTTTGTTCGATGTATATGTATATGTATATGTATATGTATATATATATATGTATATGTATATGTATCTGTATATGTACATGTATCTGTATATGTATATGTATGTGTATATGTATTTGTATATGTATAAGTGTATATATATGCACATATATATATATATATATATATATATGGATATATGTATGTGTATATGTATGTATGCATGCATGCATGCATGCATGTATGCATGTATGTATGCATGCATGCATGCATGTATGTATGTATGTATGTATGTATGTATGTATGTATGTACAAAAGTATGTGTGCATATTTATTTATTTATTATATATATATATATATAGACCGACTCATTCTATACTTTTATAGGGCCGGGGACCCCAGAAAAAAAAGCAACCCCCTCCCCCACCTAACGAATTTGGCCCACCCTGGGCCTCTCGGGCAACCCTCTAGACGACCCGGGAGAGCCCCACGAGAACCCGAAGACGGCCCCAGAAGCCTCCAAGCGTTCCGGCGCGCTCCCGAAACGACCCCCGAGAGCCACAAGACGGTCCACGACAACCCCAAAGAAGCCGTCATACCCCCAAAGATCGCTCCAAAATGTCCCAAGAAGTCTCCAAGAGCACTCCCAAGAAGACCCGACGAGGCAAGATTCATTGTTTCTCTGCTGGTTTGCGTGAATGTTGGGGTTATCCTCTTTTCGGCTTCCCGACGCTCCAAGACGGCGGTCTTCTGGGCGTCCGAAGCCGCCTGGAAGGCTCGAAAATCGCCCCACAACCATCCGAAAGGGCTTCCAGGCAGTCCAAGAGAGCCCCAAAACGGCACAACAGGGTTCCAAGATGGCCTAAGAGAGCCCCATGACGGACCAGCAGGGCCCCAAAACACCCTCCGAAACATTCTAAATCGTGACCCGGTCGTTCAGGGAGACCGCGGTTGGAGGCAGGGTGGCCCGAGGAAATCCCCAGAAGCCCCCAGAAGACGTCCAGGAGGGTTCCAAAAGGCCGTAAGAACGCGTGACAAGTTTTTGTGAGGCCCCCAGAAACTCTCCAAGGAGGAGCCTCCGCAAAAAAAGCTGCGGAGGATGGGGAAACAACGCAGGGTATAGCGAATGAGGAAAAAGAAACATTGAGGAATAATCACGAATAACATTATGATAACGGCGATGCCGGACAAGGCAACAAGGAATGTTCGCTAAATTGTCGGCTTCACCTTCCTGCTATTCCGCCTGCATACCAAACCTCAAGGACAAAGGTGTCGCGCCAATGCAGTCTTGCACACATCTTTATACATACATATATAGATATAGATATATGAAAATAGATTCAGCCCTGGGGGATCTGAATCGGAAGGGCGTCCGTGGCAAAGCGACGCCCTGCAGGAGGTGTCACATACCCGAGTGTTGTGTGGACCGACAGGGGGTAGGGTTCAAATGGGGCCGCGAGGAGTCAGGAGGAGGAGAGGAGGAGAAAAAGTGCAGCACGATTCTGGCAGCAGGGTGAAGTTCTGGGGCAACCTAGAGGACTGCGTCCAGTTATCGGGCCTGACTTGCGCCCTGCTTAACGCCCTGAATACAATACCTTAGGGGCGGGCCCATGGGGAAGCGAGAAGGGGCTGGCCTTCTCGGAGGGCTCGGAAGGCCTCGGGTCTTCTGAGCAGTTGTCTAAAGCCTTCCCCAAAAGGCACACAACAACTTCTCAGAAGGCCAGAGGGCTTCCGAGAAGCCCCGCCGCCATCTGAGAAGGCCTGCTCCTTCTCACTTCCCCCCCCCGCTCGCCGCCGAGGACGGGGACCAGGAGGCACATGATCACAACCACCGTGCGGGCGACGATCACGATTCCGCGGCCGATCACCATCAGCTCTGGCACTGCCTGCGGGAGTTGCGCGAGGCTGCCAGGCGAGGCATCGACGACGGGGGTGTCCGACCGTGCCGTCGACATCCATCTCCCCCGGCTCAACATCTGCCCTAACCTCCAACTGCTCCCCCTCCGCAACCTCTCTTCCTTCTCCGTCTCTCCTCCTCCATCCACCCTCTGCACCCGCCGCCCCCTTTACCTTATCGCCCCCCTCCTCCTCCTCCTTCAACTGCTGCTGCTGCTGCTGCTGCTCCTGCTGCTCCCCATTATCCTCCTTCACCTGGAACTTCGAAGTGAACGCACTTATCAGACTGCAACGTTCCGAGAGACTGACTCGAAGGATCCCTTCTCGGCCACCACGCAGTGTCAGGAAGGCACAACGCGACTCCCCCAAGCGACGCCTGCACCTCGGGATTCCTGCGCTGCTCCCTTGAGAAACCGGAGGGGCACTTTGGGATTGCGGCCGCTGCCCTGTGGGCGGGCGCCCACGGGGCGCCACGTGGGCGCCCCGTGCTTGGGAAATGTGCCGAAGTCTCGCCCGGAGGGCGCCCCGTGGGCGCCGCGCGTTTGGGGGTAGGCCGACGAAATCTGCCCCGTGCCCGCCCGGTGGGCGCCTCGCGGGAGCACCGCGCCGGAGGCCCTCGCCGGGTGTGCGCCGACGCCTGGCCCGGTGCCCGCCCGCGGGCGCCTCGTGGGCGCCGCGATGTCCTGCGCCACGCAGAGTCTGCCGACACAAGGGAGTCCTGCCAGCCCTCTTGGCGCTGGTGGTCCAGAGCGTTTCCCCTTCCACCTTCCCGCGTCCCCGCTTCCCTTTCGGGGAGGGGGTTGCCCCGCCCCCTACCCCCCCCCGCTGCCGCTGGACCTGGACGGGGCGCCCCGCGAGCGGTCAGGGCGTCCTAGATGGCCCAAGATGGCCCCAAGAGGGCGTCAGAGAGCCCAAGATGAGCTCCAAAATGGCTCAAGATAGCGCAAGAAGTTTGAAGGGGGCTGGAAGGCCCAGCCAACAGCTTCGCCTCAGGCGAAGCCAAGCTCCAGCTCTGTTGTAATCTCAAGCAATAGGAAGATCCTTTTGGTCTCGATAGCGATTATGTGCCACACGGCGAGGCACAGTCAAATCTGGGCGGCCGGCCGCTTGAGCCAACGCGGCCGCGGGCGCGCGCTCGCTTTCACTCCTTATGTCTCTCAGCTCGCTTTAGAGTCAAGATGCCTCGAGATGGCTCCCAAGATGCTCCAAGACGCCCCAAGACTGTTCCAAGACGGCTCTAAGATGCCAGAAGAGCTCCCCAAGGATGCCCCCAAGAACCCCCAATCCTTCAAACACCTCTGGATAATCAATGCTTTTTGCTTTTTCGCCTTTTCGCCCCCGATGGCCATTCGAGGCCTTAAGATAGCTCCAAGATGGCCAAAGAGAGCCCTAAGAGGGGCCCACGGAAGCCCCAAAACGGCCCCAAGAACGCCCAAGGACGCTCCAAGAGCGCCCCAAGAACGCTCAAAAAGGCGACTTGGGGGTTCCCTAGGAGCGACGCAAATTGAAGGAACCCCCTTCTTTGAGCCTTTTCGCTTCCGATGGCCATCCGAGGCCTCAAGATGGATCCAAGATGGCCCAAGAGGGCTCCAAGAGCGCTCCCAAGGCTCCCAAGAGCGTTTCAAGAGGGCCCCAAAAGACGCCCAGGAGGCCCCGGGAGGCCCCAACAGGCGCCCAAGAGGCCTCCAAGAGGCTCCCCAGAGACCCCCAACAGGCCCCAAGAAGCTCTGCGAGGCACCCAAGACGCTCTAAGAGGCGTCCGGGACCGCCAAGAGGCCCCCAAGACGCTCCAAGAGGCCTCCACTGGGGGACCCTTCCTCTGTGTGCTGCCCATTTCCCTGATCGAGGCAAATTCTTTGGGCATCGTTTCTGGATGGGCTGGTGGGGTTGCGCGAAGCGTCTAGAATAGTTTCTCCCCTCCTCCCCCCTCTCCCAGGGGTAGTGGGTAGCGCGCCCCCCATGGGACCCTGCGAATTACATATGAAACTGCCGTATCGATCATTGACCATATGAACACATGTCATCCCAGCCCAAGCGATATCGGCCCGCCTTACCTCTGTGAGGTGTCGCCCCCCTCCCCCCCGCATCCCTATCAAATTTCATGAGGCGCGCACAAGCGTTCATCTCAATCTATAATATCCCCATGTTCCTTTTGCAGCAGACCTGCAGAAAGCCCACACGCGCGCACATGTAAACACCATACGAAGCACGTGCGTCCAACAATTACTCCGACGGTAGGACCCCACGCGATAATCTGTTTAGCTTACCCTTTGCCCTTTCCTCCTCCCCCTGGCGGACACCCTCTCCTCTCGCCCTCTGCACTGCCCTCTCTTCCTCATTCTATTCCTCTTCCTCTTCTCCTCCTCCTCCTCCTCCTCCTCCTCCTCCTCCTCCTCCTCCTCCTCCTCCTCCTCCTCCTCCTCCTCTCGCGCCACCTCCTCCTCGTCGTCGCCCTCCCCCATGCCCCTTCCCTCCTCATCCTCCTGCTTCTTTTCCATGTGCACCTCCCGTTCCCCCTGGTCGTGGCAAGCAACTCGATTTTCCTCGGCGCCGTCGCCGCGTCGGCCAGCGCGCGCGCGTTTGCCGACGGCTAGATCGCGAAGCCGTCGGGGCAACCCTTCGGGCCAGGCCGTTGGGGCAACCTCGCAGGCCGCAGGGGCGCGGGAGCCAGCCGTTGGGACAACCCCGCGGGCCTCTAGGTGCGCGCCGCGGCGCTCAGGCGGGCGGCAGCACGAAGCCCAGCTCTGCCGCGAGCTGCTCCGCCTCAGCCCTGGAATCCACCGCTCTCTTGTCGAACTCCTGGAGCGCCTTCCACAGCGACGCCGGCGGCCCGCGCTCCAGGAACTCTCGCGCGGGCGGCCGCAGGATCAGCATGTTCCGCACGCGCGTGGCGCGGGAGAACATGACGTAGAGGCGCAGCCACCGCATCTCGTCCGACATGCCCGTGCGGCCAGCGTCCTCATCCCTGGCGCAGTCGATGGTGGCGCCCTTGCGCAGCGTCTGGCCCTGCGACAGCGTGGAGGCCAGGTAGGACGCATGCGCCAGGGTGAACCCCGAGCGGCGCACGGTGTGCGCCCCCGAGCTTTGCCACGTGAGCTCCTGCTCGCTGGGCCTGAACATGAGCGAGCTCCTCGCCCGCGCTTCGGCCTCGCCGTCGTCGGCAGCGCCATCGGCGCCCTGCAGCAGCACCTCGGCGACCTCCTTGTAGATCGGGGACTTCTGGAAGCCGTGCGCCTGCAGCCAGATTCCCTGCGGTAGGAAAGCGGGGGCGGAAGAGCTGGCCCGGCGCGCACTCCTCGTAGTCCCGCTCGTCGTCTGCGTGAAACCCGAAGGACACGATGGTGGCCCGTTGCTCCTGCACGAACCCCAACTTCTTCTTCAGCTCCTCCTGCGCGGCCGTGAACCGGACCTCCATGCCGACGTGCGCTGGTAAAACGCCGTGGATGTATCCCGTCTTGTGCATGTTCGGGACGTTCAGGAGGCGCCGGCCTGCGTCTGGGTCGCCTTGAATCGTGCCGCACTCGTCTACGGCCTGCAGGAAAACGAGGGGGACGCCGAGGCGCCGCGCGTCGCGACGAGCGCGCGTGTTGATCCACCTCGCCAGCGTCTCCCAGTATATGCCCATGCCGTAGCCGAGCCGGAAATTATCGTGCTGGTGCCGTGGGTCCAGGACGCCGTGGTTGTCCGAGGCCAACGTCTTCTCCCAGGCAGACCAGACCTCTGGTGGGAAGCGCTTGCCCTCGCGCGTGCAGCCCAAGAGCGCGATCTGAGGGTCCCCCGGCTCGAAACGCTTTGCAAGAGCCCAAAAGTGACGACGGTTACAGGGTTCCAGTGACCCGCTCGGATTAGTTACATGATCGGCGGGCCCCATAAGGAGGGCGTTCCAGCCTGAGACGTCCTCGCAATTCACTCAGAGACGAGGCTCCCGCCTGATACTTCCTCCATATTCAGGCCTCAAGAGCCCAAGAATGAAGACAGCTACAAGGTTCCGATGACCCGCTCGGATTAATAACATGATCTGCGGGCCCCATCCGGAAGGGGCTCCCGTCTGAGACTTCCTCGCAAGTCACTCGGAGACGAGAATCCCGCCTGATACGTCCTCCATATTCAAGCCTCAGAGGCCCAAAAGTGACGACAGTTACAAGGTTCCGATGACCCGCTCGGATTAGTAACATGATCTGCGGGCCCCATAGGGAGGGGGTTCCCGCCTGAGACTTCCTCGCGATTCACTCACAGACGAGGCTCCCGCTCAAGACTTCCTTCGTATTCGAGCCTCAAGAGCCCCAAATTGACGACAGTTACAAGGTTCCGATGACCCGCTCGGATTAGTTACATGATCGGCGGGCCCCATAAGGAGGGGGTTCCAGCCTTAGACTTCCTCGCAATTCCCTCAGAGACGAGGCTCCCGCCTGATACTTCCTCCATACTCAGGCCTCAAAAGCCCAAAAGTGAGGACGGTTACAAGGTTCCGATGACCCGCTCGGATTAGTAACATGATCTGCGGGCCCCATAGGGAGGGGGCTCCCGTCTGAGACTTCCTCGCAATTCACTCACAGACGAGGCTCCCGCCAGATACGTCCTGCATAGTCAAGCCTCAGAGGCCCAAAAGTGACGACAGTTACAGGGTTCCGATGACCCGCTCGGATTAGTAACGTGATGTGCGGGCCCCATAGGGAGGGGCTCCCGCCTGAGACTTCCTCGCAATTCACTCAGAGGCTCCCGCCTGATGACGACATGATGAGTGAGCGAATGATGATGATGACTGTGTGACGAATGCGTGATGGTGATGATGATGATGAGGATGAGGAATATGATGATGATGATGATGATGATGATGGCCACTGAGTGGGCGATCGAGAGATTAGGATGGAAATGGTGACGGTGATGTTGAGAGTGGCGGCGGTCCTGCCGTCGGAAGACCACTGCCTCCGAAGCCTATTGAGGATGAGTGAGTAATTGAGTGAGTGAGTGGGTTATCGAGTGGTGATGA